ACTCCTAGAAACAAAGCAATACCCTAAACCCTAACCCCTGAACCCTAAACCCTAAACCCTGAACCCTAAACCCTAAAACCCTGAACCCTAAACCCTAAAACCCTAAACCCTAAACCCTAAAACCCTAAACACCAAACCCCTAAACCCCTAAACCCCTAAACCCCAAACCCTAAACCCTAAACCCCTAAACCCCTAAACCCTATCAACCCTAAACCGTTTTCTGTGGGCCTGGAGATCCTCAGCCCTAAATCCTAAACCCTAAAGCTTAAGCCCTAATCCTAAAACCATGAAACCCTGAAACCCTAAACCCAATGGGCCTGGAGATCCTCGGCCCGAAGCCTCCGGTAACGGCTCCCATCGGAGCGCTCGGTTTTCAGCTCCCCGGGCTCCTGCCGAAGTCGGTTCCGCAAGGGCGTTCTAGGACATACAGTTTAGGGGTGCAGGGGTTTTAGGGTTTAGGGTTTAGGGGCTTCTAGAAAGGAATCTACAGTTTTGGGGTGCAGGGGTTTTAGGGTTTTGGGTTTAGGGTTTAGGGCTTCTAGAAGGAACCTACAGTTTAGGGGTTCAGGTGTTTTTTAGGGTTTTGGGTTTAGGGGCTTCTAGAAGGAACCTACAGTTTAGGGGTGCAGGGGTTTTAGGGCTTAGGGTTTAGGATTTAGGGTTTAGGGGGTTCTAGAAGGAACCTACAGTTTATGGCTTAAATTTAGAGTCGTAATTATCGGCTTTGGGGCCTATGTACACGATCAAGACTATAAGGCTTTTTTTTACGAGCTCTATACTACAAGGGTTCTACAAGGGCCCTAGATAGCTCTATAAGCCTAAGCCACCGAATAACTAAGCCCCACACCCCAAATCCTTCTCTAAGTGCTCCAGAAGAGGATCTGTTGCGTTCGCATTTACAGGTTGTAGGGCTCTGTAAGGGTTCGATGGTGCTGCAAGAATGCCCGTCACAGGTAGTCTGCACTGGGCATAGTAGTATGTAGCGTCAGGGCTTTAGTAGGGTTTAGGATCTAGAGCTTTTGGGGGCTAGGGTGTCGGGTTTTGGGTTTTAAAGTGCGTGTTGAGATTGAAATTTAGGATTTCGGGGTGAGCTATATGAGCAAGGACGACGAGTGTAATAGCAAAATACAGTAGTCGCTGCGGCCACTTTGTAAAATCAGCCGCAACAATGGCGGCACTAACCAGTATCAACAACGAGAGGAGGTAAACAGCAACACCACTGGCATTGGCAACACTACCACGACCAATGATACTATGTATGCAAGCCTAGACTCTTAAACCTAGAGCTCTTGGACATCATGAACGTAACCACGGCGAGGCCGCTCTCGAAACAGAGCCCTCAACACAACCCTTCAAGCACATCTGGAACGTAATGACCCTAACAAGGATCCTGATAAAACAGCATTGATTTCTGCGCCTACGTGCGCTTCGTATATTGACCCGCTGTGCAGTAAGGCAGTCGGCAGCGCTTAGCACTCCTAAAAACCGAATGACATGGACCCCCAAAGCCCAAATCAGAATAAAATACCCCTAAACCCTAAACCCTGGAACCCTAAACCCTAAACAGTAAACCCTACACTTATAAAATGACATGGACCCCGCGGCTTTCCTTCGGCGTGCGCGGATCTCCCTCACTGTAAGTCTCGCTCTTCTCGCTGCGTTCCTGCGGGGGACTGGGTTTAGGGTTTAGGGTTTATAGGGTTTATACCTAGACCCCCCAACTACCCTCTATTATACCCCAAGTACCTACTATTAGGGACCATAAGGGCTCCATTAAAGGGCCATTGGGGGGTCCTGGGAGGGTTTAGGGTTTAGGGTTTTCGGGTCTCAGACGTACAGGGTTTTGTGGCCCAAAATGGGGACCTCAAAAAGTACCTACACTATTTTTGGGGGTTCCTTCTTATAACTATGGTAGATTATACCGCAAAACCCTATTCTAATTCTCAAGGCCCCTAAACCCTAAACCTTTAGAGTAGCCTTTATAGAACCCTCGAAGGAACCCTTCTAACGAACCCCAAAACCCTATTCCAATGATTAAGGCCCCTAAATAACTCCAAGGTTCGGGTTTGGTGTTTAGGGCTTCGGGATGCTTCGGGGTTCGTTGATTTAGATCAGGTGTGAGGCTTCATGGTTCACGGATTTGGGTTCTGTCGAGTTCCGGATACTTAATAAAAACATCCCAATACAGTGCTCATTTCCTAGCAAAAAGCAGTGCATGTATATGTATATGTATATATGTGTATGTATGTATGTATGTATGTATGTATGTATGTATGTATGTATGTATGTATGTATGTATGTATATATCTATATCAATACCACAAACATATACATGTACACATATACATTGATAAATATACACACACATACATATCATCACCTACATATACATCTGTACATACATTTACAAATACATACCCATATACATATATAAGTACGGATACTTGTGCATGTACATGTACATGTATACATATACCTATTATACATCTTGAAATTAGAAAAAAATTCCTAAGCCGCAAAGAACCTGGGACCGTCCGACTGAAACCTCCCGTGCGACCGGCCTCAGGGGGAAGCCATCCTCGACCGAAGAGGCCTGATGTACGTGGCAAGTTAGGGGTTTAGGGCTTTAGGGTTTAGGGTTTCAGGGTTTAGGGTTTGGGGTTTGGCGTTTAGGGTTTAGGGTTTAGGGATTGGGGTTTAGGGTTTAGGGTTTAGGGTTTCAGGTCTAGAAGATTTCGGCAAGCATGCAAGCATGCCTGCATAGACACATGAGCACATAGATCCACCCATGCCTACATGCACCGCTGCATACATGCCGGCAGCTTACATGACGTTGAGCTACATTACATGACACATTCTTTCGCGACATACACGCCCTTGCATTTGAGTAAATTATCCGATAATCTATATTTCTGCACTACAGCACCAAGGATTACACTACTATACAACAGACTACATTGGATTACAGTGTATTGCGCGACATCATTGCATGACTA